TCTTTTAATATCACTTAGGCAGCAGACCAGTTCTCTGGGGAATTAAAAGCAACTGTCTTTGTCTTGCAAATCTCTACAAATTAGAAATGTAAATACAGCCCACAAGGACCTGAGACTGAGCTGAATTAGCTCAATCAGGTAGAACCTGAAGACCCCCACCTCCACTCCCCAAAAGAGGGAAAAGAGCCTTTTTAAACTCAAACAGCTAGAAAGCCTCCCTCAACAAATCTAATTCACAGCTTCCTTGAGGATTTATCAAGAACAAATACAAATCTTAAAAGTCTTTTCCACGAATAGAGAAAAGCTTTCGTCATCTGAGCAAATAAATTTAACTTGTTCCAGTTGTTATTTATGAACTAGTAAGTTTATAATGTAATAACCGGTTGATGACTAAGTTTTGAAATGAAGCTATGAGATCTGTAGTTATGTTTGTTTTTATGTCTTTCATGGATAATCTAAAAATAATTGTAATTTAATAGATATAAATGAGGTAAGAGCTTTTAGGCAAATTATTTAAGAATAATTATGTTTTATGCTGTGTCTACTTAAAAATGGTTTCTCCAGATTTTTGGTGACTTAAAACGTTAGAGTTTTGCTAAGTTAAGTGAAATGATGAAAATTTATTCAATGTATAGATCACTCCCAAATAAAATAAGATACTGAAACATTAGTTACTCAAGAAAGGCTTCCTTTTACAGAGAAACTTTTTAGGTGTATTAACAAAAATGTTTGATGTCACAATAAAAATTTTTCTATAAAAAAGTCTGTGTTTTAGAAATAAACAGTATTTGTGATTTTGCCAATCTACATAATAATACTGTGAAAGTTTATAATAATTGCTTACTTCTTAGTTTTCACTAGAAATTAAGGGTTTCAAAAGAATTTTGGTTAATACATATAACTGAGACAACTAAAACTCGTAAGGAAAATATCTTTCTATGAAAGGAAAAAGGGTATAAGAAATGGAAATACATTTCATTAAGGGAAATGAAAGTAATTTTGTCCTGGAGACAAAGAAAGAAAGGAAAAGCATAGGACAAAATCTGAAAATAAGAAGAAAGTTACAGAAGGTCTGTGGAAATGAAACCCTGAGGAAAGCGTTCTGTATATCATCAGGACTGGCTAAGATTAAAATAAAGTTTAACTGAGTAAATACATCTCGATATTAAAAGTAAGCTAGCATGACTAACATAAATGCAAATCTGAAATTTAACTGAATCTTTTTATCACTGTGAACTCAATCAACAGGCACTAAAATTATAACTAAAATAGAGGGGAAATGTCCAAATTTTCTGGATATTCAGGGGTCCTCTTAGCACACAAAAAAACAAGAGAAATGAAGATCTTGCCTAAAACCCTTTTTTTCAGAAGAGAAAGATTTGCCCCAGGATGGGGTGGATGGAGGTGGGGAGTAGGGGACTGGGATCTCATAATTTGTACATCTGAAAGATATGACCCACACATAGTTCCCCTTCAACCATCAGTCAGGACATAGTTTAAATAAAATAAGCTAAAAAAAAATTCCTACTTTCTTATCAGAGCCTGAATAAATAAAAATTAATGTATTCATTCTGTTTCTCATGTAAGCACTTATAGATCATCATTTGAGAAAAACTAGGAACTTTTAAAATTCTAAACCCTGTCAATTTCATTTCTTTCCCATAAGAGACTGAACCTAAATTGGCAACTACAACTGGGGCCTCTAGAGTGCTTGAAATTAAAGGCATTACTCATCTTCGTAGAGATGCATTTACTAGGTCACAAACCTATTGAACTTAAAAAGCTCAAAGAAACTCCAGCAACATACCTAGTAGCCAGATCTTGGTTTCTTATAACAGTCTCCAAAAAAGGGAACCAAAGTGCCTTGAAGAAACGGCTGATTCCATGGCTGGGGCATGAAAAATATAAAAATGAGCCTGGAGCTTTTGTGATGCCAGAAAGTAAGGAAATGCCTTTTTTAAAAAATGGAGTAGGGAGGTGGTCTGTCAAAAGGGCATAGGAGCCAAGCTGAAAGAAGAGCTCCCAGTGGCCAAAGGTGGGACAATTTGAGCAGCAAACTAAATGATGATGTATTGGATTATAATGCATATAATAAAATAAATATTGATGAGTGTGTACTGATAAAAATAGTTGAACAAATAAATGGTGAAAGAACATCTGTTCCTTACAGAAGCACTCTCATTAATAAACATAGAAGAAATGAGAAAACCAATTTTAAAATCATGATTAGAACAACACAGTTTCATGTACATCAAGTTCTACCAATGGATGCTAAAACCAGTGATTAAAAATTTAAGGAAAAACAGGGTATTTACATAGTCCAAGTTTCTCTCCCAAGATATCTACTAAATACAAAGGGAAAAATAGTAACTTTACAAGGGGGACCGAGCAAACAGCACTTCACGAAGGTTTACATCAGACATCATGGACCCCTGATATGATGCACTGGGATTACTTATAGTATCTCTTCCCAAAATACATAACTTCAATCTAATCATGAGAAAACACTGAGTACTAATTGCAGGACATTCTACAAAATAACTGACCAGCACTCTTCACAAGTGTCCAGGTCAGAAAAAACAACAGAGGGTTGAGGAGCTGCCACAGATTAGAAGAAATTGAGGATATGTAACAATCAAATGCAGTTTGCGCTCCTAGGCTGCATTCTGAACAAAAAGAATAGTGAAAAGCTGATGAAATCCAAATAGTCTATAGTTAATAGCATTTACCAATGTTAATTCATTAGTTTCAACAATTAGTTACATAAGATGTCAGAGGAACTCTCTGAACCATTTTTTTGCAACATTTCAGTCTAAAATTATTTCAAAATAAAAAATTAAAATAATGAAATAACCTCAGTATTTCCCAATGCTTCTAATGCAAGTATAATATTAGACTTAAAATATCATCTTTATTCTTTAAAACTTCAAGACCTATACCACCTAGCCGCAGTTAAATGTATTTTTTGAAATGCATTGGCACTTCAAAGATATCTTTTCCTTGTTTCTCTAACATACTTTAAATTAGCTGAAATTCAAATGATAGGAGAGCTATAACATCCTAAAAACCAAGTGTAAGGGCTATCCTTATCACACTGACAAGGAAGAAAGCAGGAAGTTTACATTTTGTAAACTGCTCTCCAGGAGCAATTTGTACCTCTTCCTTGTTTAGGTGGCAATTACGAAGGGAGAGGAGAATAGCAATTTGATTTCTGTTGAAAAATTCAAACCTCTTGAATTTTTCTCCAGATTGGGTGGCATTCTAGGGGGCAAAATAGAACACACCTATCTAACTGGGAGAGAGGGAAGGCATATATCTAAGTATGAAATCAGAACACAGTGAGTGGTTTGTAGCTCCAGGAAAGAGTGAAGTAGAAAGGATGGATCTATACTGGAGCAACTGGAATGAGTCAACTGACCATAGGCTGCTAGTTACATCTGGGAGTAAATCTCACTGCATATGTCAAACGGAGTCTACTCATACCTTAGATTCCAGATAGAAGCAGTGAACAGTTTAGTATGATAATACTATTACTATTAAGATTTAGGTATAGCTGAAATGATACCCTTCAATTTTTAACTAAAATTAGCTTACTACTTCATGGTTTCTGACGCACACATTTTATTTGAGGTAACCATCATATGAGGTATTCTGGGAAGACATCTAACAGTATCCCCATGTTATGAAACAGGAGAAATGGATCAGAAAGATTATAAATCAAAATAGATGGCAAGTTTGCAGAAACCTTCACTGATGGATCAGGTAAGAATATGAAGTGTTCTTAGCATACCTGACACTTTGTACTACTGTTCTGGCACTTTCAACTAGCCCAGATTCCACTTCTGGACTCAAATACAATCAGACTCCACCCATTCAAACTCATACATTCTCTGGTCCCGTGAAGAAACTGTAGTCCAGAGAGATGAGGAGACTTCATCAAAAGTCTTCATCAAAAAGAAAATGAAGAAATGGCACAGTTTATAGAAGCACGTTAGGTCTGGGCCTTCCTCTCCCTGTCAACTCACACACTCTTTCCGTGGTCCTGTGAGCTGCTTTGTGAACATGTAAGGAAAATGTGAAACAAATGACCAGGCTAGATCCAAAAAAGAAAAGAAAAGAAAAGCAAGGATTGGTGAACTCCAGTTAAAGTTCAATATGGTTTTTTTGTTCCAGCTATAAATGACCCTGAGACCCCTCAGCCTCCTCCTCTATAAATACCAAACTCCCAAACCTCCCTGGAAGGTTTAGTGCGAGCATAAACTGAGAACAGATGTAAAAACCACCTGCACACAGCAAGCACTCACCAGTTAATGGCTACCTCCTTTATTACTCTGAGGACCCGACGATCTTGTATTAACACATTCCAAACTAACACGGGATGATTGAGGAAAAGGGGTAAAATGAAACGCTTCCTTCTCCCTTTCTAACTATTCTGTTGTCCCTCTAACTTTTCTACCCATCCTGTTCCCTAGGGTCCGGTCAGGGTGGAGCCAGGGTCAGGCTGTGCAGAATAAGAAGAGAAGAGGCAGAACTCCTGTGTAAAAGTATCTGATGAAGTCTGTATACTGTTCCAGAAGTCTTTCCTCTTTCCTTGTAAGACACTCAGCTCAAGTGTCTTCAGAGGGCGATCACAGGGCTTCTTGTTTTCTGGAGACTTCCATTTTTACCCTTCTGGGAAAAAACTCAATGCCTATGAAATGACACAGAAATACCTAATGCTACCTGGGCCTATGCACTAATTTCCAGCCAACTCCTCTTCCAAAGACTAACGGGTCTTTTCAGTTGCCAGTCCAAAGGGACTGAGCTAGGGATCAGCATTTTCAACATGGTTTCTGACCTTGCCAAGATTTCATCCCACTCCTCCTGCTGAAAACAAAACTTATTTGAAATCAGGATGGGGGCAGCATTTTTGCTTAACCCACACCCACCCACCTCAGTTTAAACTACAGTACAATAATTTTCAATGCAATGATTCTCTGAATATTTTCTTTATTTCTATAAACAAGCTAACTATGTGGGTCAAAAATTAGATATCCACTTTCTTAACAGTCTCCTAGTGAGGCAGAATATCTGCTTCCAAAACACCAGAGGGGGTGGGGGGACTATGCTGAGAAGGGGGAGTGAGTGTTAATAGGTTTTTAGGGGAGAGGATGATGAAAACATGATGACTGCACAAACTGTACACTTTAAATAGGTGTGAACTGTATGACATGTGAATTATATTTCACAAAGCTGTTGCTGGGGAAAAAAAATGAGGCCAAAATCATCTAGACAATTTATCATTATTGGTTCACATCATGGAGTGAAGTGGGAACTGATTTTTTAAAGGATAAACTTGTACTTCCTGTAGACCCATATATCCTACATTCTATATCCTAGAGAGAGGATGGCCACTCAGATTCTTTAATTTGCACTAAAAGATCGCAACCCTAACCTATAATCCCAGTAATAAACCTTCCCACTTGAAATAGACTTCAACAGCTGCCAAACTTCTATCAAAAATGCTTGAGAGAAATACAGAGTATCTGAAGGACAACAGGTCTACCTATCCCTCTAAAAAAATCCAGATTCCCAAACAAGCCCTAAGTCGTCAAACAGCAGCGTATGTGACCATAGGGGCTTAGCATCCAACAGGTGTTTCTTATAACACTTACCGTAAGGAAAATCACAACTAGTGCATGTAGTCCTAGAAAACACAGTGGTGCATGTACTATGTATGGGATGAGCCCAAAGGATGCTCTCCCACTGCCATTTTTCAGTCTCCTTTGCATCCTTCTGTGACACAAAACATCTCCCTCAGAAGTAGATGCCGGGAAAAATCTTCTCCAAGGAGCTCATATATTTCCTGCCTTTATCCTCATTGAATTGTATGACTGGTCAGTCCCTTTTTGTTTTGGCCTCCAGGTTGTAACTTTAATTTCCTGTCCACAACTATTCTAATCTGCTCCCCAAAACTGCTCCCCTATTCTTGGTGTATTTTATTTTCCATTTGTAATACTTATGTTTGCCTCAAATGCTTTATGAGTGCTTAATAAAAATAAATGCAGAAATCCATTTTGGCTGTAAGTGCATTTTAATAACATTTTGATGCAAAAGAATGTGTTTTCTAAGGAAGCTCTTGCTGAGTGCCAGGGTCTGGAATAAAGATGACCAATAAACATTTGTTACTATGAAGTTTTTTTTTCTTTTTTCTTTTCTGAAATATGGAATGAGCTTTTATATTTCTATTAGGCAAGAAAAATAAAACGTAAGCAATAATACAGATTTTTTAAAACTGCCAGATTTGCAATATAGTTTTTTCAGTCATGTATTTTCCTGTATTGTTCTAACTTCTTCAGAATTATTTTTAAGTATTGTAATAAGCTGGTTAAATTTTTCAAGTTATTAAAAGTCAACTATCCACAAAAAAATTACAAAAGACAGCTCAACAACTCTTTAGCAAACCATCTAAAGTTGTGGACAAACTTTACGTCCTGGGGGAAGAAAAAGACATAGAATATGTTGGTTAATCCCTTTAAAGTAACAAATTTCTCTCTCATCTTGTAGTAACTTCCATACTCAATAAGGTTTTATCCATCCCATACCAACTCTAGTTTCATGCATTTGGAGAAAGGTAAAAGTTTTACCAGCGGGCTCTTAGCACACACTACCAGACACGGAATTGGTTGCACCAAGACATTGTTTCCTGGGAAAAAAAGTCTAAATTTTCAGTCTATTTCATAGTTTCAAATGAAAAGTATGGGGACTGGGAGGAATAATTAAAACCTAAACATCTCATTTGTACAATTTCTTTTTTCTACCAAATGTTCACGCAATACCCATGAACCTTTCATGCCACACACATCTCAAACGGCTTTCACAGTTTACTCACTCAGCTTAGTAGCGGTTCAGTTTAACCAAGGGCTTCAATCTCAGGAGCTGCTACGCTCAGAGGCAAAGTACGAACAATCATTTATATAAACTCTGAGATGAGTCAGCGGGACCTTCCAAACATACCCTACGGAAGCAGCTCCTACTTAACAAAGACATCAAGCATCTGCACTGTGCTTTCTAAATAGTGGAGAGCTTTTCCAAAAACTCCCTGCTTCCTTTCCAGGCTGCCCCCTTCCAGCGTCTCCCCAGACTCTGTCGCACGGCCGAGGACTCCCTCTTCCGTCTCGCGCGCTCTGGACTCAGTCTGGAACGGCGCAGGGCTCAGGACACAGCCCGCGCCGGCAGCAAAACCCGGCGGCGCAGGGCTCAGACACAGCCCGCGCCGGGCAGCAAAACCCGGCCGGGGTCGGCGTTCCGCGACGGATGCTCACAGCCCGGCGGGCAGCCCACCCCCCGCGCCCGCGCGCTCCGGGCGAGCCCCAACTCACAGGCGCAACGGCGGGTCTGGGAAGGCGCTGGCCACGAGTTATCTTCACGGCCACGGGCGGCGGGCGGCCAGCCAAGCGGTCTGGGCAGCGAGCGGCGAGCGCCAACGACACCGACGCCGGCTTCACCTTGCACGCTTCGGGCTCCGGGAGTGGAGGGCGCAGGGCGGCGGCCCCTCCCTCGGGGTCGGTGCCCGCGCGCCAGCGGAAGGCGTGGCGCCGCCTGCCCGGCGGCGATAAGCGAGCGGACCCAGACCAACACTGGACCTGTCACCCGCCCGCGGGGCCCGAGTCACGACGATGACTATCCTGGAGCATGCAAGGACAAAGCAGAAACTCCTTCCTCTAGGGTTTGTAGGAGACGGACAGTGGCGATTAGTCCAGGGAACCACTAAGCTGATAAATATCCGCGCTGACCTAGATGGATTTGGTCAATACCGGTGTCCCACACCCCTAAGCACCAGAGGACATTGACACAGATTTTTTTTCTGTCATGCACGTTGTCCACCCCAGAGCAAGTAGGCGTTCTCTATTGAATGAGTTTCTGAGAGATCTGGTGCGAGCCGCCCAGGGCCAATAAAATCAGGAACCGAATCTAAGGGTGGGGGGAAGGGGAAACCAAAACATTTTGAATGAAAATATTACAATAAACAGTTTAAATGTGTTCTTTACACTCCTGTAATAAATACTTATGTTCAATACACTGATCGTGTGGAAAAGCTAGAAAGTGATAGTGCAGATTCAGGAAAAGGATTCCAAATCTCATCCTAATACTTTCATTGCCATCAAATTCTGTTTGAAAAATTCAGATTAAAGTAGGCATTTCATAAATGTATTATTGCATTGTAAAGAAATGACTTATTTCAACGTATAAGGTAGCATTTTATTTGGGGCTATTTTCAAATGTCCTGCTCTCTCTTTTATTGTTTGGTTATTTGAGGTAGTAATAGAATATTAGGGAGGGAGGGGACCTTACTAATTTTACAGATGAGTCACCTGGTTCAAAGGAGACCATTTAGCACAAGGACAAAACTTAGTAGGATAAGCGGGTGACTCAGTTTCTCAGACCCCACTCTCTGCTCTCCACCTCATCACCTCTCTGAACTGCCCAGTATTTATAGAGCTGGGTTATTGGGACTCCACTGAATGTGTGTGTTTTTGTATTTTTTGTTTTTGCCTTTAACCCTTTATTTTACTTTACTTTGTTGTTTTTTCCTTGAATGTGTTCTTTATCTGGCACTTTTACTTTTTCAATTAACTAAAGTTTTTTTTATCTCTCTCTCATTACATACCAAGCAAGAAAAAAATTAAAATCGCCTGTAACCCATCAGCCACATACCATCTGCGTTTAGTCTTTTTCTGTGCACACATATTTCCTCAAAAAACAAAAATGGGCTTACATACAAAGTACAAGGATGAAAGTCATCATCTCTAGAGTCAGTCAGATAGCCTATGTCTGAATCCTGGTTCTCCCCAACCCTGGCGACTTGAACTTGAACTAGTTAGTTTGTCTTTA